TCATTTTATTTTTGAATTTTTTGGGAGTAATTCTCATATAAGGCAAAAATCACGTGCTTACAAATGTCCCATTTGTTTGCTCTTTGTGAATGATTGAATCTTAATCATTAATTCTGTTTGCCTTTTCGTTTATTCTTAATTATCCAAATCTTAATTATTAATTTTTTTATTTTACAATCTCTTAATATATTTGAGTAGATCTATTTTTAATCTGTCAAAATAGATTTGAATGAATAAAATTTATACAAAATTTAATATTGTTAAGTTGATATCCATTACGTAATTAACACCCGCAACCATCATATAATTTTATCTATTATTGTGTTGATATAGCATGAAGGTTAAGTATTATTTATTTTAATTTTAGATTTATTAATTTTTAATAAAGATAAATTTTATAAATTTAGATATTAAGAAAATAGGTCTTAATGACTTAGCATTTAGATCTTAATGCAATAATTTAATATTTATATGTGTATTCAAATTCTCACATTTAAATTAGACTGACGTGACTTGATGAAAATATTAGGCTGTTTGGTCAAGCTTTTTTTTTTCCGCCAAACGTATTTTTTTTACAAGTAAGGTATTTGTCCAAGCTTTTAGAAAGAAAACGTACTTTTGAGTAGAAGTAAAAATAATTTTTGAGAAGCAGAAAATAGTAGCTTCTTCCAAAAAGTATTTAAAAAAAATACTTTTGATAAAAATATACGTAGAAGCACTTTTTAAAGTCTTGTCCAAACACCAATTGATGCTCAAAAGTGTTTTTCAAATTAATTAACCAAACACAAATTGTTTCTTAGCAAAAGTATATTTTTAAAAATTATTTTTAAAAAAATCACATTTCAAAATAAGCTGATTTTGAGCTTGTTTGGCCAAGCTTTTAAGAAGCCAAAAACACTTCTTCTTTTGGTCAAAAAATCACTCTTTTGGAAATTTATAGCCAGTTCGGCCAAACTTCTCTAATCCTAGAAGCATTTTTTTTCTTTCAATTTTTTAATTATTTTTTATTTTTTTTTATTTTTTTTAATTTAAAGTGTTTGGCCAAGCTTTTGGAAGAAAAAAGTGCTTTTGAGGAGAAACAGAAGTAGTTTTGAAGAAGCAAAAAAAAGTAGTTTATCTCCAAAAGTACTTTTTTGAAAAGCACTTATGAGAAAAATACACTTAAAAGCAATTTTTTAAAAGCTTGGCCAAACACAAATTGTTGTGCAAAGTGTTTTTCAAATTAATTAGCCAAACACAAACTGCTTCTCAACGAAAGTACTTTTGAGTAAAAACACATTTCAAAATAAGCTGATTTTTGCAGCTTGGTCAAACATGACATTAAGGTGTTTGGCCAAGACAAAGAAGTGCGTTTGAGCTCCACATAAGCAATTTTTCTTCTTTTAGGAAAAAGCTACACGTTTTAGCTGTTTCCAAGAAGCAGAAACATAAAATTATTTTTTCAAGACAATAATATTCTTAATAAGAATTTACATTTCCAAATTATCCCTCGCTTTTTTTTTGTGTTTCTGTACCATCTATTTTTCATTTTTCTTATTTTGATTGTTTTTTTATTCTTCCCCTACTCTTCTTTGAAATAGTCTCTCTACTATAAATAGATCTCTTTTTATATAGGATTTATTGAGTAGATTTTTAATTTATATTATACGATGTATATTGATATGTTTGAATCATCGCGTAAACAAAAAGTAATGTCATATATCCAATATTATTTCTTTGGATAACTATATTTTTATTGATTAAATTTTTTAATATGTATTTTAATTTATATTTTATAAATTTAATTTTCTATAACAAATAATAATAATTATAAATTATACATTTACTGTCCTTCAGCATAATTCGATACTTTTTGGGCCAAACACAATTTGCTTATTATAAAAGCACTTCTAGAATGAATTGGGCAATACAAATTACTAATATTTTACATAATTACGTTTTCAAATAAAAATATTTCTTAAAATAGTAGTTTTTAATAATTTGGCCAAACGGGCTGTTTACAAGCTACAAGTACCAAAATAACCCCAGCATAACATTGTGCGTCTTTTCTCCTCTTCCTATTCTCCCTTACACACAGTTGGTATGTAGAAGCTGCGAAGACTTAGGCCCGAGACTCACTTCGATTAAAATGCAATCTACTTCTTCTACAATTACACTACCATCCATACTTTAATATTCCCACACGCTCTCTCTCACTCACTCTCCACTCTTGACCCAAAAAAAGAAAAAAAGAAACATTTAGAGAAATAAGGAAAAAAGAGCTCAATTTTCTCGATCTTCCTTTCTGTCAAAGGTTAGTACCCTTTTCTCCCTCACTCCATTTTTACTTTTTTCTTAATTGCAATTTAAGGGTTTATATTTCTCTTGAAATTGATCTTTTTTGTTGTCTTTCGTATTAGGGCAACAAATTTTGTATTTTTCTGCTATACATGTTTGGCTTTTAATTTGCTTTTAGCTTCTGGGTTTTTGCCAATACGAGCTTTTGTATGTGAATTTAATTGTTGAATTATACTAGACCTGTTAGCAAGTGGGAGAACAAATGATATTTAAGGCAAATAATCCTAATTTTCCTTGAAACGGGTCCTAATAGAGTGAAGTGGATATAAATGGTTCATATTGTCAACCCCAACAAGTTTAGGATTGATTTGTAGTTGTTATTGGTCGAGTTTGCAGTGTGATTGGGACTTGCACAAGTTAATCTTTTAGAATTAATTCGGGAAATTATGGTTAGGGACTAGATCTGAAGCTCTATTATTGGGACGTAGGTAATTAGCTTTGAGAGATTGCTCTTAAGGTGTTTGCCTGAAGCATTGACTTCATTCATCAAGTTAAGGATTTTACCACTCTTCTCATATGGAGTAGTACTTTTGATGAAGTGTGGCTATTACTGGAAAGGAGAAAGGAGGTGTTGATCAAGAGCAAACTGTCAATACTCTAAGCTGTAACTTGTCCTTATTGGCGGAACTGGTGAGTTGTTGCTCAAAGGCTGATAAAGTCACAATGGATATTGTATATGAGGGGGATGTAAAGAAGTACCATCTTCTTAATTGGGCAACTTTAATATTCCGGTGAAGAGCTAAGGACTTGAGGGTACTCAGTATAATCTTATAAAGAAAATGGATTTGAAGTTTTGATCTGGAGTAACATGTGTTGTGGAGGAGGATCATGTCGGAACATTATGGAGCTCATAGGTGGATGGGGAAACAATCATGCAGCCATAGAGAGCAACTCTACAAAGGAGTATAAGGGAAGGGTGAGAAGATTTGACATTGATATCAGATTTGGATAGTTAATATAGCCAGAAATTGTATATTTCTAAAAGCAAAGTGGTGCGACGATATTTTTTTTTGTTGTGCGACGATATTATCAATGTCTCTAGCCTAGAGACAGTAGCACTCACTCATGTATGCTATCAACATAGTGATGGGAATTTATTGGACCTGAACTTCAAATGGAAGGGCTAGGTTCAGCAGCTTAAATTCAAATGTTTATGGATTTTGGTTGTTCGGTGTAATCAGCAGGATGTAAAGAAGGAAGATAGTATGTTAGACTTCATTGAATCCTTGCAAGTTTAGGACTTTCACAGCTGAAGTCCTTTTTTTTTTTTTTTTTTGTTTTTTTTTGTTNGGATTTTGGTTGTTCGGTGTAATCAGCAGGATGTAAAGAAGGAAGATAGTATGTTAGACTTCATTGAATCCTTGCAAGTTTAGGACTTTCACAGCTGAAGTCCTTTTTTTTTTTTTGTTTTTTTTTGTTTTTGTACAGAAGGATTCCTAATTCTTGTACTGCTTTAGCACCAGCTTGGTGCTAATTTTCTCTTTTTTCAATATACAGGTTACTTACTTTCTCAAAAAAGAACAAAAAGAAAATAAAAAGGAATTTGCGTTGCTAGGTGATGGAAGAGCTCAACATGGTGTTTGAATCATTCTACAAGCAAAAAACATCATTTACCAGTAATAACAGCCAGAAATGAGGAGGACTAGAGATGTTTTTTTCTCAATTAAGTCTTCCTATAACATACTTGAGAGAGAATGTGAACTTTCCTTACACTTCAATTTGGGTTCCTAGAGCTTCAACAACAATGTTTTTCTTCACTTGAAAAACAGCATGGAAAGCCATCCTCGCTGCTGAGTTTGAGGACAATTTATAAAAGTTGGTGTTTCATATGCTAGAATATGATAGAGAATGCTAACCATTATTGCTTCATGATTCAAGTGCAAACACGCTATGGTGCATAGTCTGGAAGGTGTCTGAAACGGAATGGATGATGTCAAGAACTGTTAGAGAGATACTACTAGGGTGGAAGTTTAGAAGGAAGAGGCCAAGAATGAGATTCTTGAAATTAGCTCCTTTTGTTTCCTGTGGATAATATAAATAAAAACGAATAGAAGTGCATTTGAAGGAGTTGAAAGGCCCTTCTAAATATTTTCAGGTGGGTATTTATGGGGATGCTTGTTACTGGTGCATCAGCAATATAGTCTTCCCTCATAGAACTTGATGGAAGGCATCACCATGCAGTTTGTGTCTGTTAAAAGATTCATTCATATTATCGGTAATCATCCTTAATTAGGGAAGGCTTAAGTGATATCATTGGATATTTGCGCTTCACCGATGCACATTTTAGATGGTCAAATCGGTGCTGCTGTCTTTCGACGTGATGCAATGGCTGTTCACCTTGAGCTAATAGTAGTAGCAAGTTGTACAAAGTCAAAGCTAGCAGAGATTGGAGGGTCAGGATAACAGCAGAGGTAGGAGAGAAGAATAGAAGAAGTAGAAGGAGAAAGTGGCTATTGTTTAGCACCACAGAGGTGTTAAAAAAAATTCGGATACGACTTCGGTACCAAAAATAGCTTGGGGATGTTTTCACTGTATGCTTTGGAGATTATTGAAAGCAAAATCAATAGACCTGTCATGGCTTGATTCATCAAGTGCCTTAATTGACCTAAATAAAATTTATTATCAGCAGCTACTGTAAAGCCAAACACATCCGTTTAACATATAAGCATATGTATTGAATGATGCATGGTTTAATGGAAGTTCTTTTGGTCAAATTGTCCTCGACATGGATGCATGACGAACATTGTTCTATTTAGGCTCGCAAAATTGCTGTATCTTCTATGACCATGCATTAGCTGGCAGCATCAGACGTACATTTTATGTAATTTCCCTAGGATGCTGCATAACCTCTCACGAGTGTTCCATTCGACTGCATCCAGTTTCTAGCCACTAAGTTGTTTGTGATGAGCAGTGGTGTTAATTCTGTCAATATAAATAAGAGGACATCATTCACTCCTTTGATGTTTCTTCCTGCTCGAAGTACTTGCTGCTTTCATCTTGTGAAAGGCCAGACATCATCAATTTTAGAAATTTATGTGGCTGGCGGTCGAAACTTAACAACCAAGGGAAGTCGGACCATTGGTTTGTACTCATGGTTTGATGGGATTTTAAGTATTCAAGTCTCTGGAAGCCTAACCGAGCTGAAGTTAGTTAGAATAAAGAACCCTTCCAGCATTCAGAAGTGATTGACTACAGTGATTTGGAAATATGAATAGAGTTGTCTTTAACTTTAAGTGTTATAACATGAAAATTTGTTCTGGTTCTTATTCTTTGGTGGCGGTAGTTGCTTCTTTTGTTTGTTCTGTTCGTGGATCACAAGTTCGTGTAGTTTTATTGGATATATTTTCTTTGCTCGAAGTTATAGGGAATCGGTTTTGCTGCTCACTAACTGTGCTTCTCCTGTCTTCACAATTGGAAGGGATCTTGCGAATTATATATTGTCATACTTTCTTTTACCAATCAGAAGAAAAGAAATGTGGGTACTTTATCTTGGTTCTCGTATCTGTGTGTGTAACAAATATCTTACTGCTGCTGCCCCAAGGCTTTGTCTAGTGGTAAGCCGCGCAATGCGTGATGTGTTAGGTGCATGTCACGTGTTCGAACTCTGTCGTAGACAAAAACCTGATATGTAAGTGGAGAAGGGTAGAGGGCCCGGCCCATTGTCTACTGAGTTTCGGACTGTGCACCATTAGCTCTTGGGGATTGCTTAGTTATAAAAGAAAAGAAATGCTGAACCATGTGAAAAAGATATTGTTTTTGCTGAAATGCTTCTAGCAAGTAGACTCCAAATTTAATACTATCAAACCCCTTATTCATAGGGCAATTTCTGTTTCTTAGCGTAGACTTGAGAGTAAATCAAGAGGTCTCTACTCCATCAGGCTTATTGTCTCATCCAATTTCTCTCTCCTCTGCTTGTTTGTTTATTCCCTATATATCAATCAATTTTTCAACTATGGGGTGTATGAATCCTCTATATCAGTTGCTCTCTATTAGAGTTGGTTTGACTCTAGTACTCAATATTTGGTATAAAAATAATAAAAATAGAGGATCTATAAATTTGCACTCATCACACCAGCATAACCAAAGTAAAAGCTCCTGACAAACAATAAATCTAATGTGAGTGTAACAATAACTAGTCTTTATTCTAACTAATTGATATTGCCTGTATATATGTTTGCTTTTATTGTGTTCTCCTTAGCTAAGTCTCCCATGGATTTTGATAGATTATAGCTCTTTTGAGGCAAAATTCTCTATGTGATTTTAAGTTTGCGTTGTCCCCTCGAGCACTTCAATCATATCATATTATTGCACCTACGGACAGGTATACTTGGAAGTTTACATAGGACATGACAAAATATTTCATGGGATCTTCTCTCATTTTATTCTATAAGTTTGCTACCTTTTTTGTTTTTTGAAATGGTAAAGTATCCTCTAAGTTTGCTACTTGCATATTGATCTTGACATTCATATTATTCAACACTCATCTTCTGGATATTTTGGGTTTTATAGGTCAAACATTCATCATTCCTTTCCAGAACCTATATTTTGTTTTTGTAGTTTTCCCATTATGTGGATTACGAAAATCAATGTTCTATGGAAGTAATCTGGAAAGGGCGGATGATAGGAACTTATTTGTTCCTAACTTAAGGCTGCTTGATTCTCTGAAATAGTTAAAATTATGTCTATACTTTCCAGGTCTTCAGATATTCTTTATGACAGAAATTAAATACTGCTGATATTTGCTATCAAGGACCAGTATGGGTGAAAGTGCAAAAAGGCGAAAGTCTTTGTGGGATGCTGAAGAGACTCCAAATAGTCCGGATTATGAGGAATGGGGAGCTTCAAAAGCTGATAATTCGTGGCAGTCCAAAAATAACTCTAGTTGGTCGTGCGGGGACAATGTTACAGGAACAGAAGAGCTGAGGAAGGAAAACTACCATTATAAAAGCATGTCTCCAGCTTTTGATAGGTGGGGAAGGCGAAGCAGTAGTCACTCTCCAAATAATGGTCGGACCCAGTCTCGCAGGTCTGTTTACAGTATTTGGTTTAATGATCCATCATACTCATGATTATCAAAAGATAATCGACCACGTATCTGTAAAACCTATTAGCTTTCAAGTAAGATAGTTCTTTAGGTTTGAGTTTGTGATGCATTTCATGTATTGCAATGTGCAATGAAAGAACTTCTGGCTGGTGGGAAGCCACTGCTTTGGGTTCTCTCATATTTCAGTGTTACTTGCCTCCAAAGTTTTCACGAGTTTATTTGACTTTCCATCATTCTTTTGGTGTTCTCTCTCGTTTTTGCCTGATCCTTCCGTTGGGCATGGGGAAAGGGGAAGGGGAAGTTCGCCTAGCAGATATGGTTGATATTATTTCTACTGATACGTTGCAGTTTGTTTTTCATTTTATAGATACCCTGAAAGAGCCAGGAGCAGGAGCCGGAGCCGGAGCCGGGCAAGGGGAGAAGGTAGGAGCAGGAGTCGCAGCAGGGGAAGGGATAGGTTTAGGGGTTGGACCAGGAGTAGAAGCAGGAGCAAGAGCCGGGACCGGGACCGGGACCAGGACAGGGACAGGGACAGGGACAGGGGTAGTATGAGAGTTCAGAATAGGAGTCGTAGTCCTCTCCATAATTCTAAACGTGATCCATATGCATCAGGCGATAGAAGGAGCGGCCCTCGTATGTCATCCCAGGTATGCAGAAATTTTACAGCAGGGAATTGTAGGAGAGGCAGTGACTGCAGGTTCTTTCATCCAGATGCTATCAATCATAGGGATGGAGGTCATTCAGAGGGCAACTTGGTTGAAAGATTGGGTAGTCGGCCAGAGCGTGGACATGTCTCAAGGTATGCTGATAGTGAAGGTCCTGGGTACCAATCAAGGGATAGGCTTCCTGACATGCATCATCTGGAGGATGAGATGCACAGAAACCGGAATAGAGGTACAATTATTTGCAGGGATTTTGTGAAAGGCAACTGTCGCTGGGGTGCATCATGCAGATTTTCTCATGACGGTGCCTCAGGTGATAGCTATGACAAAGGCACTCGGAGTGCATCCATTGATCATGGTCAGGACAATCAAGCAAGCAGAACTGGAAAATCACTTTGCAAGTACTTTGCAGCAGGAAAGTGTTATAAGGATAACTGCAAATTCTCTCATGATGCCACATCAAGAAATCATGAAATTAGGCCCTCAGATGACATTGGTGGCCACAGACTTGATGACAAGAATAACTGGTTGAAGGGTCCAAAGTGGGATGATGAAGGAAGGCCCTCGGACCTTGTAAAGGCTAGTGGGTGGGATGAAGGCAGGCCCTCGGACCATGTAAAGGCTAGTGGGTGGGATGAAGGAAGGCCCTCGGACCATGTAAAGTCTAGTGGGTGGGA